ATAAATGAATGCCTTATGTTCATCCTTTTCAACCCCAATTCCTTTTCGATAACAATGACCAATATAATATATCCAATAAACATAACCCATATCAGCAAATTTTTGATAATGAATGAAAGCCTTATGTTCATCCTTTTCAACGCCAATTCCATTTCGATAACAATAACCAACTTTACTTATTCCCTTAGCATTACCTATATCAGCAGATTTTTGATAATAAGTGAATGCTTTACGTACATCCTTTTCAACACCAATTCCATTTTGATAACAATAACCAACATTATTTATTCCATCAGCATTACCCACATCAGCACATTTTTGATAATAAATAAATGCCTTATGTTCATCTTTTTCAACACCAATTCCATTTTTATAACAATTACCAACATCATTTATCGCAACATCATATTCCATGTCCGCAGATTTCATATAATGTTCAAACGCTTTTTTTTCATCCTTTTCAACACCGACACCATGTTGATAATTGTATCCAAGACGACGAAATTCAGAAGAACTTTCTTGGTTCATTTTTTAAAGATGCACATGAATAAAAAATTAATACCTCGTGTTTTTATTGAAATGTGGTTCAAAACATTGGCTTTTTATAGGATCATAGAGTCACCAACATAAGAATTTTGTCATTATTTGGTTATGCTTGGTTTATTTTGTGTTACACCTGATTTCGAATTTTGTGATGCTAAGGGCCTGAATGAATGATCGAATTTATCAAGTGTAATACATATATAGTATATGTATACAAAGTATAGTATAGATGGATGCCTATTGATTACGAAATTCAAATCTATGCCTCAATTTGCAGTATCTACGTGTAACATGCAACGATAGCGATAGTAATTTTATTTACGTTATCATCCTGGTTCACGTACGTACACGTACAGTATCTTCGAAAAGTTACACGAAAAAGCTTAACAAAATTTTGCGGTTAATTGATATTCTTAGGTATAGTTGTAGTTAATAATAGGAATGGTACTTTTTCTTTATATCAGATGATAATAGTTGATGTGATATATTGACACGTAATAATTAGTGTAATTAACATACACAATTTGCATATATGTTAAGCTTTGTGTGTAAACTTTACGAGGATACTGTACTTACGTACGTACGTTGTGACTAGGGTTCCGCATGGGCCGGGCTGGGCCGGATATTTCAAAGTTCAGATCCAGCCCATTAAAAATATGTACCAATTATTTAGATCCAAATCCGGCCCATATTTAATTGGATAGATCCAAGCCTGGCCCATTACCACATAGTACAATCCATGGTCAACCCATGGATCCAATAACATAAACAAAAGTTTGGAACTAATTTGTCTTTAAGCAATTTATGTATTACAAGCAATTTATATATTATAAGCAATTTACATATTATAAGCAATTTACATATGGGGTCTTTGCCTTGAAAATGACCTTATAGGACATAGTAAATCATATGATCCAAACTTGATTTTCAAGGCAAAGACCCCATATTATAAGTGATTTACATATTAATAGAAAAAATTTTACATGTTATAAGCATATTTATTAAATTTTATATTATGTATAAAAAACAATTACATCTTCCACTTAGATAACCAATTATGTTGACATATTAATGCTTCAACTGTATTTGATTCTAAATTAACACAACAATCATCAATAATTCTACCAGCCAAGCTAAAAATTTGTTCTAATGGTACACTTGTTGCTGGAATAGCTAAGAAATCTTTGGCCATCTTGGATAGATTTGGAAATCGATTATAATTTGATTTCCACCAATAAAGAGGTTTGATTTTTTTTGAGATTGTTGGTTCATTTAAGTATTGTTAAATTTTATAAAGATTATTAGTATTCATTCGTGATCGTTTAGATGCATATTGATGGTAATCTTCATCAGATTGGTAATCTAAATTAGGTGAGGTGCTTGTAATCCTTTCAATAGAGGTATTAGTGTATGAATGTTTATAATAAAATTTGATATAAGTTTCTTCAAATCTATAAAAAAAAATAAATAAGTTGTGTATATAATTAATATAAATTTAAAATTTTATATATACATATACCTTGTTTGTAAATTAATTACAATCTTTTCAGTTTCTTCCTGTAACAATTTTTCTTTTTGTTTATAATAGTATCTGAACCATTCTAATTTGTAAGATGAATCAAGTATACATGCAATTGCATATAAAATATTTGTATCTTCCTAGTATTTATTAAATTTTTTTTGCATAGAATTAGCAAATTCATAAATAAATGTACTAGAACTTGATCACATTTTTTGTAAATGTAATTTAATTTTAAAAATTATTATAATTGCATAATTAAGTGTTATATATGAATTTGCAAACATTTGCTTAATACTTTTAATAAATATTATAATAATTAATATATAAATATAATATAAAATATATATAAAAAATTATAATTACATTCATAAAAAACCTTAAGTCCATCTTACATCATACTAACTTGTTCCCATTCATCTTCTGATAATGGATCTGGAAAATAACAATCCCAGCTTTTAAGTTTTAACAATACTTGTTTAACTTTAATTGCAGAATTTAACATATTATACATCAAATTCCAACATGTTGTACAATCAAGCGAAGGTATAATTATATCAATAATCTCATAATCACAAGCAACAACAAAAGCTTGATGGCACTTTGGTGAGGTGTGAATTGCTTTAACACAATTACAGACCTATATTAATTAAAATAAACTTATTTAATTTTATAATAAATATATAAGCAATTAAATTTAAAAAATTATAT